TCTGGTAATTCTATGTTGTTTTTTAAATCAATTTTTTAAAATGTTTATTTATTGTGTGTGAGAGAGAGTACAAGCAGGGGAGGGTCAGAGAGAGAGAGAGAGAATCCCAAGCAGGCTCCATGCTGTCAGTGCAGAGCCTGACACAGGGCTGGACTTTATGAACCATGAGATCATGACCTGATCCAAAACGAAGAGTCAGATGCTTAACCAACTGAGCCACCCAGGTGCCCCTGGCAATTCTATCTTTAACATTTTGAGGAATTGCCAAACATTGCACCATTTTACATTCCTACCAGTAATATATGAGGATGTTCTTTTTAATGGCTACATAGTAGTCCATGGCATGAATGATCCATAATCTATTTAACCTACTCCTTGTTGATTTTTCATTAGATTCTCTCTAACTTTTCACTCTTTCAAGTAGTATCAAAGTTAACATACTGGCTCCAATCTTTGCTTATCTCTGCAAGTCTAGTGCTAGGAAAAATTCCCAGAATAATCAAATAGATGAAAAATGGTATCTTGCCCAATTTTTTATTTCTCTTACTGTTACTGAGAAGGAAGGAAGGAATGCCATGATTACTCATTCATTATTTAACATTCTTTCAATCATTCATTCATTCATTCATTCAACTAATTCTTCAGGCCATTGCTGAGCTCCACATGTACCAGAAGCTATGCCAGACATGGGACATTGTCTGAGAATTGAGGCAAAGCATAGAGGGCTCTCAAGAAGGTGGTTGTAAATTAACTTTCACTTGACATGTGCTATATGCACTCAGGCAGAGACTCCTAGCCCAGACTGGGCCCTTCAAGGAAGGGCCTCAGATGGATATGATTCTTAGACTGAATTTTGAAGGACAAACTGAAGTTGGCCACATGACGAGGAAAGGACATTCCTGGCAGAGGGAGTAGCATGGGCCAGTTTTGGAGGAGTGAGAACTACATGTCATTCAGTGTGGTGGTTATAGGTGTGAACTGAGGGATAGAGAGAGGAGTGAAAGGTGGTGGGACCGTGCCAAGGAGGACAGCTTTATAGGGTTGTAGAGAATCCCTGCTTTCCCCATTCTCCAAGCCTGAGATCTGCTGGGCACACTCACCTCCTGAGACCCAACATGACTGCCACAGCCTACATGATGCTCCATGGGTGAGGAGCTATGAGAGCTCTGAGGACATGGGCACAGAGAAATAAGTGGCTTCATGGAGGCTGTTCAGTCAGGGGCTAGAGAGGGGCCATAAGATCAAGGACATTGGAGGTACATTTGTTAGTAGAGAGAGGTCCCTTGGGTATACCTGGAGAAAAGAGACAGGGTAGGAGTAGGGTGGGTGGTGCCATGCCTCTGATCATCGGACACTGGGGTCTGCTGAGACTTTCCCACTGGCTACTCAGGAGTCAAGGCCAAGCCAAGACTGAAGGACGGTCAGGATAACCTTCTGAGTCCTCAGAAGATGTCATTGTTCATGGTGATGAGGTGATGGGGAGGGGAGGCTACATGGTCATAGGAATGTGGCTATAGGTTAAAAGGGACACATGACACAAGTTCATGTTCATCACTCCAGGTGGCATTTTCTGCATTCCTTCTCATCCCATGTACCATTAAACCCAAAGTGGCATAACATTACCCATTACCACCACCATCAAATTTACCACAATTAATACCTCTATCTCCATTACCCACCTCTAACTCTATTACCAGCCCCATCATTACTCAAATCACAGATACCCTTCTCCCACACTAGGCTCTGTCACCACCATTACCATCAACATTACCAGCCTCTGATGACAGAATGATTAACAAGAGAGATAAGATTCTTGCTCTCAGGGATCCTGTACGTCTTCATCATGACCACCACCACCACTTTCACCACCACAATACCATCACCATAGCCACGCCCACCATCACCTCCTCCACCATTAATACCACCACCACCACCATCAGTATCATCTACAATATAACCCTTGTAACCACCACTGCCTTCATAACCACATCAGTATTACTATTATCCTAGCCCCATACCCCTCACCCCTACTCCAACCATCCCCATCACCACCATTTTACCATCAGTATTCCCATCCCATTACCATACTTATCACTAAATTGGGATTCCATCAGTTGGAATTCCACCGTCATTACCACCATCGTCAATGTAGGAAATAATTACATGGGTTGCAGTTTAATGGTGCTTTAATAATGCTTTAAGGGAAACCCCTACTAAGAAGGGAAGGTCATCTGAGGTCACTCAATGTAGAGAGGGGAAAAGAGTAATAAGTCTTAAAGTGTAAGAAATCTGTATTGCAAACAATCCCAAATGGGAACTTATTCTTCCCCAAATCCTCTAACAATTCTAGCAATAATTTCAACAAAGGAGTTGCTATTTTTCCAGTGCACAAGTCTCCTTCTCCTCTAGTTTGGTATAAATGAATGTTTCCTCCATCTTGGCCTCTGAGCTCAAGTTTGGATTCCCAGGTTGGAGAGGGATGAGAATGGTTAAAAATTTAATCAAAACCAGCTCTTAACTAGTGGGTTAGAGCTGATCTGCCCTCTGGTTAGACCCTTGGCATTTCAAACCTTGCCTGTCTATTTCCATCATCTGCCTCCACACATCATGGTCACTGTCACCACCACTCCTTGATGACATGAGAGAGGAGAGTTGCCATACAGGGTGGAAGCAGGAAATAAAATGAAGACAGGAGTACAATTAATACCAAATCATTCTCTGTAGAAAGTGGCTACATATTTAGATCTGAGTTTCCTAGGAGTCAATGCAAAGAGGGGAAGGTAACCACTACCCGACTATCCGCTGTTTCTCATATTAAGGCAGGAGAGAAATTCCCATGGTGGAGAAAAAAAAAAAAAAAAAAGCCACCGCAGCCATGCCCAGACTTGGCCTCATTGGCTGTTTCCTTTGGCTATGAAAACTTCAGACTATTTCCTATGAACCACGGGGGTGAGATGCCTGCAAAACTTAGCTCTTGGAGCTGCAAATGGTTGTGGTTATTTATTTGTTTGTATGTATGTATGTGTTTGTTTGTTTGTTTGTTTTTAAAGTAGGCTCCGTGCCCTCACCATCCTGAGATCAAGAGTTGCATGCTCCACCAACTGAGCCAGCCAGGTGCCTCGATATTTTATATTTTTATATAAATAATATGATTATGAGGGAGGAACCAACAGGGTAGAAGTCACATGTAGGTGAGAGCAAGAGGGGCAGGGCTGTGTCACTCGTAAGCTGGTCTCCAGGGCAGCTTGGGCATTCACCAAGTGAATAAAAGCAAGGCCAGTGCTGCCCAGGGGACTGCAAGGAGGTGTGAGGTGCCAACAGGCTGGTGTATTGGGGGAACTGGAGGGAAGGGGGCATGGTAGGGAAGGGCCAGCATGGGGCTAAGGGAGAGGGGCAATCCTGGCGGGGGGAGGGGAGGAATCACATGGGTCAAATGGAGAAGCTGGACTTTCACCCTCCAGCAGTGGGAGCTTTGCCCTGGGACGCTGCCCTGTTAGCTTTGTGTTTCTAAATGTCCACTGTGGCAGGTGTGCAGAGGTGAGAGGGGTGAGAGGGGTGAGACTGGAGGCAGGAAGCCTTGTTCAGCTTGTTCTAACCCTCTTGCTAGACTGTGTGCTCCCTGAGGGCAGGGGCTGTGACAGGCATCTTTGTACTCTGCAGAATGCTTAGGTTATCTTACTGTTATCACCTCCTGTCATGGCCATTAGATCACTGTCCTCCTCTCATGCTGCCACGTTATTAGCACCACCCTTACCACACATCATGTCAGTGGGTTAGTTCTTCTCCCAGAGCTTTCTCGGGGAGCCCAGCCTAGTGCATACAGAACATCCTCAGTGCAGCAGCAGGTCAAAGGCCTGGGCAGAGGCAGGGATCCTGGTCCTCTTTCCAGTTCTGCTGCTGAGTCACTGTGTGGCCCCAGCAATGCCCCCGCCCCACCCCCCATCACCGTTTCCTTAGCTGTTCAAAATGAGGGCTACATTAAATTAGTGGTTTTCAAATTTTTTTTTTTAGGTTGGGCCTTTTAGAAGCCTATTTGCTTAGAAATCTGGAGCCCTGGGGAAAACAAATTTGACAACCTCCCAGCTCTGCCAACACTGAGTTTGGAGAAGCAGATGAGAATAAAGCTGATATTGCTGGCCTCTGCTGTGCTTTTGCTGCAGGGGCCATGAATGGGAACTGAGTGGGGAAAGTCAGACAAATCCTGAGTCTTAGGCATTGCAGCTACCTATGGTGGGACCTTGGCAAACCGCTCTCTCTGCCCACTCAGTCCCCCAAGGGGAAGCTCCTGAAAAGAGGGGCAGGGGGAAGGCAGGAGGGACTATGTGTATGGGAAGTGGGACGGTGATAGGTCTGGGATCCTCCAGATTGACCAGGCTGCCCAGTGCAGTTCCAGGTGTGTCTCAGGCCAGGGCATAAGCTCCAGGTGGGGGCCTTGGGGTATAGGGAGGCTTTGTGACTCAGCAGAAAGAACTCTTCAACCTGGTTAGGGCCTAGCTCTCAGTCTTGAATCCTGAGGGTCCAGCCAAGCTGTGGCTTCAATACATAAGGCTGACCTAAATCTTCACAGGACAAAGGGCATTCCTGGAGAGTTGCCATCAGGCCCCAGGGGACTCCTCCTCTTAAGGACTCTTGGAGCTCAGTTGATCCTGGGGCTAGGGGCTCACTTCCTGCACACCTAGCTACCCCATCATGGCAACTGGAGGCTACCCCTGAGCACCAATATGTAAGTCCCAGAGCCATGGAGTCGGTGACCTCTGAATGGACGGCCCCTCACCCAGGCACTGGGCCAAACAGGCGGGGATCCCTGGAGACCTGGTGACCAGGGAGGGCTCAGTCCTGGCCCAGCCCCTGAGGGCTGGATTCTGACGGTAAACTTCTGCTCATCAGTCTACTTGCTCCCGCCTCCAGAGTCCAAAGGTCCAAGTGGTGGGTGGACTGTGCTGCACTGAACGCTACAGAGGAAGCCCGCACTGAGACTGGTCAGTGGGTGGGTGGGCGGCATGAGATTTGAAGAGCTGCTAGATCAGGTGGGAGGCTTTGGGCCTTTCCAACTGTGGAATGTGGCACTGCTGGCCCTGCCCCGAGTGCTGCTGCCCATGAACTTTCTCCTGCCCATCTTCCTGGCTGCCGTACCTGCCCACCGCTGTGCCCTCCCTGGTGCCCCTGCCAACTTCAGCCACCAGGACGCTTGGCTGGAGGCCCACCTGCCCCGGGAGCCCGATGGCACCCTCAGCTCCTGCCTCTACTTCAATCACTCCCAGGCCCTCCCCAACACCACATTATGGGGAGCGGGGCAGAGCCCTGGGCTGCTGGAGGGTGAGCCTTCCATAATGCCCTGTCCTCAGGGCTGGGAGTACGACCGCTCGGAGTTCTCCTCCACCATTGCAACCGAGGTACCTGAGCAGGAGACTGGGGGACACGTGAATGGGATGGGCCTGCCACTGCCCTGGGTGATTAATTACTGTGTGGGCATTAGACCTGTTACCTTACCTTACCTAATCTCAGTTTACCTATCTGTAGATGGTGTCTATGAATTTAAAGCACTGAGCTTAGTTCCTGGCTTGTAGTAAGGAGCCCATACACCAGAGCTGCTATTATTAATTAGGAGGTGATTAAGGCAGGTAAGGGCTAAGATGGCTCTAGGGAGTTGGGGGAGAGTTGAGAAAGGTGTTCTGCAGTAGGAGAAGGAGACACAACAGAGGCCTCCTTCTTTCCCTTTCTTTTGGGCCCAGGTCTGGGATTTACTTAATCTACCTAGAGGTGAGTGCAGATGGGGCAGAGTCTCTCTAGAGAGGAGCGGACCTGTTGTCAAGGTCAAGACCCTCCACGGAAAGAAGTTGAGGCTACAGAATTGGGGAAGGGCAAAGTCTCTTACCCCTCAAATTGGAGTGAATAGTTGAGGGTTTATTATCTGACACGGAGGTACCAATATGGAACAGTTGACCTCAGGAGGCCAAGAGTCTGGAGGTGGGGGGGTTGGTGCTACCTGGAGAGGGCCTGTGCCCATGAGAGGCCCCTCCCTGTCTGTCCCTGCAGTGGGACCTCGTGTGTGAGCAGAAAGGCCTGAACAAAGCCACGTCCACCTTCTTCTTTGCTGGTGTGCTTGTGGGGGCTGTGGCCTTCGGATACCTGTCTGACAGGTGGGGTGCAGTGGGGGCCAATAAGGGAGCGGGCTGGGGCACCCTCTCCCACTGGTTGGGGTATGGGCCTAGTCTACCTCTGTCGTGGGACCTCCCCTCTACAGGGAACTGACTCTGCATGACCCCTGTGCAGGTTTGGGCGGCGCCGTCTACTGCTGGTGGCCTATGTGAGTTCCCTGGTGCTAGGCCTGGTGTCTGCAGCCTCAGTCAGTTACATCATGTTTGTCATCACCCGCACCCTCACTGGCACAGCTCTGGCTGGCTTCACCATCATCGTGATGCCACTGGGTGAGGCAGGCAAAGGACGGGCAGGGCCCAGAAGACTGGAGGGAGGCAGTTGTCAAGGGTGAGACTGAACTCATCTGGCCCTTGCTAACTGTCTTCCTGTCTCTGGCCCCTGCCCTGGGCCCAGAACTGGAATGGCTGGACGTGGAACACCGCACCGTGGCAGGTGTCCTGAGCAGCACCTTCTGGACAGGGGGTGTGACGCTGTTGGCACTGGTCGGGTACCTGATACGGGACTGGCGATGGCTTCTGCTGGCTGTCACTCTGCCTTGTGCCCCAGGGATCCTCAGCCTCTGGTGAGGACTGTGGGCAGCTTGGGAGTGGGAGATAGAGGAAGCCAGAGATAGAGTTAATCAGAGGCTGAGATTAGAATACAGAGTGACTGAGATATGAAAAGAAAGAAAAAGTCAGTGACCGAGAAACAGAAAAAGAGAGAAAGAGAGACAGACCAGTACAAAGAAGATGGCAGTGGGCATGAGAAGCAGAGAAACACACAGTAACATATTGAGAGACAGTGGAGAGACAGAAACAGAATCAGTGAGAGATAGCAAGTGGCAGAGACCAGGACTGAGGGGCAGATTCAGGGGGACAGATAGAGATGGACATGGGGGTCACAAGAGAGACAGGGATGGAGAGACAGGGCCAGCATAGGGGTAGGGAGTCCAAGCAGGACAATAGGAAGCCAGGCAGGGTGGGCATTTCATTGTCTTCCAAAAATGAATTGGCTTTTGATGCCCCTTGGGGATTTCTGTATGTCGGTCTCTCCTTCATCCTATGCCCTCCTGTCACTTATGGGAGAAGTGGGTGGCTGACGCTGGGGAATGAGAATGAGACCAATCCAGTTGAACAGAGAAGGGAATCCCAGGCTGTGGAGGAACTAAGCCTGGGCAAGGAAGTGTGGCAGGGTGGATTTTAAGTGGGGCTTTAAAGGATGAATAAAAGTTTGTCAGGTGAGGAGGGTTTGAGAAGGAGAGCACATTCCAGGTTGAGGGGACTGCATGAGCAAGAGCCTGGAGGCTGACAGGCTATGGTGTGTCCAGGAGGGAGATGTGACTGTGGGTGCTGACTCTGCCTGAAGGGCCTCCTGCTGTCCCCCAGGTGGGTGCCTGAGTCTGCACGCTGGCTTCTGACCCAGGGCCGTGTGGAGGAGGCCCACAGGTACCTACTCCGCTGTGCCAGGATCAATGGGCGGCCTGTGGGTGAGGACAGCCTGAGCCGGGAGGTGAGAGTGAATGTGTGTGTGTGAGCACATGCAAGTCCATGTGTGTGGGGACGCGCACGTGTGTGTGTGTGTGTGTGTGGCCGTCCCGTGTCAAGCGTCCCCTTCCTGGGGCCCACTGTATGTGCAGGAAAAGCTCCTGACCCCCAGTGGAGAGTTTCCAAACTCATTGGGATGTCTTACCTGGCTCTGGTGGGCCACACCCTTGACTCGGAGCCCACCCGACTCAGCCTGCATGTGCATCCCCACCCCCACTATTGGAGAAGGGAGGAGGAACAGAGACCCAGAGAGATCAGTGTGCCTAGCTAAGCACAGCCAACTCTGATGTCACAAACTCTCCTCCTCTCCCACCAGGCCCTGAGCAAAGTGGCCGCCAGAGAGCAAGTGGTCCGCAGACCCTCGTACCTAGACCTATTCCGGACCCCAAGGCTCCGACATATCTCGCTATGCTGCATGGTGATGTGGTGAGGAGCGGGGGATGGGTGGACAGAGAGGCAGACTCCAGAATGATGCTGAGTGTGAGTTGGAGGGACTGTAACCGTGCAGGGCAGGAGGACCAGCCTCTGGGGAGATGGGACACTGGAAGATCACAAGATGGAGCAGGCATCAGAAGCAGGGCTCAAATTCAGGTGCTGCCACTTCCTGTGAGATCTTGGACAGGTCACTTAACCCCAAGCCTCAGAGCCCCTTCTGCAAAACAGGACGCTGTTAGTTCCTACCTCACAAGGTTGCTGTGAAGATTAGGTAAAGACGCTTTGGCCACTGGCACGTGCTGCATACTCCGTGGGGATTATGAGGACAGGGATGGTGGTGGGCAGTAGGCTCTGGAGGCGGGGGAGGTGGTCCCTCTAAAAGGCCAAGGCTCCCTAGGAAGACAGGACAAGGGGGATGAAGAGGAGGGCCCCTGAGTGCATTGCGACCCCTTTCAGGTTTGGAGTAAACTTCTCCTATTATGGCCTGAGCCTGGACGTGTCGGGGCTGGGGCTGAACGTGTACCAAACGCAGCTGCTGTTCGGGGCCGTGGAGGTGCCCTCCAAGCTGCTGGTCTACCTGTCGGTGCGCCACGCAGGACGCCGTCTCACGCAAGCAGGAACGCTGCTGGGTGCCGCCCTTGCTTTTGGTGCCAGACTGCTGGTGACCTCGGGTGAGCCTCACCCGGAGGCCCCGCCCACTCATCGGAGGCCCCGCCTCCTGGCCCAGAGCTCCTGCCCTTTCCCGGAGGCCCCCACTCAAAGCCCTCCATTTGGGCAACCTCCCACCCTGGGAGTTCTCGGTCTCGCACAAGACCCGCTCACTGCCTGAACCCCTTTTCCTCTAGAGATGGGGTCTTGGAGCACCGCCTTAGCAGTGATGGGAAAAGGTTTTTGTGAAGCTGCCTTCACCACAGCCTATCTGTTCACATCGGAGTTGTACCCTACCGTGCTCAGGTGAGGGGAGCCTGACAACCCATCGGGGGGGGGGG